TTGCAATAACATCTTAGTACGAAACCTGGCTGTGGAAGAGAAAGGTGAGGTTATTTATTATGTCATTGATAATTATAGAAATAAGAATACTAAATATTGCAGAAAAAATAGGTCGAGTGGTAATATTGATAACGATTACGGTGACATTGATAAAAACAATGAATAAATACAAAAAAAAATTGACGGTTAATGATAAACAACATAACAGGAAACATAAAAGAAATGATAATAATGGTAACAAGACAGATATTAATGATAATAACAATAATATTGATAATGTTGACAACAGCAATAATAATATCATTGATAACCCTAATGATGATAATAATAATGATGCAGAATAGAATAATAGTAGTAGAAGCAGTAGTAATAGTAGCAGCAGTAGCAATGATAATAATAATAGTAATAATATTAACAATAATATTAATAATGACGATGATGATGACAATGATATTAATAATGACAATGGTAAAAAATGAAGATGATAATTGCATTAATGATGGAAATAATTACAATAATAATGATAATGATATTGTAGTAACAAAGGTAATAACGATAATGATAAAAACGGTATTAGCAACAATGATAAGTACCTTTCTATGAGAGGTAATTAAGAATAACTGTATCTCATTATACCGAACACATTAACCACATTCACCTGACACTGAAAACCACCACATTTAAACAAAATTCTTCCGACACTACAAACCACCGAACACAAGATTTTAGACGTTAATATACAAAACTGCACAAAAGTTATGGAATTAAATAACATACGATGGCTGAAATGCCTGACAGACACATAGGATGGGCGTAACTTTAAAATGTTCTATTGTGATAAGGAAGTGCTTTTGGTATGTGGATTAATTAATATTATTTCGTGATTTATATATCAGATTGCGATGTTGTTGTCGCCTGGTGTTGGTGCTGCTGGGTAGATAAATGTGATTATTGTTACTGTTATTTTTGTAGATTGTTTTCATTACTGACGTTTTCATAACCATTGTTTTATTGCAAAGAATAAATGTCGATTTTTTTTCATTGGTAAAGTGTTTCAAAAGAATTGTGATGCGATTTAGAAGATATATTGTTGACATTTCCGATTATCGAATTTTGGCGCCAAATTTTCCTTTAGGTTAATTTGATAACTCTCTTTTTTCATGATGATAAAAAATCCCACTAGTGGTAATGATAATAAGTTTAATGATGATAAGATTCATTGCAAGTAAGCGAAGCTTATTTTTTTTTTTTTTATGATGGGACTTTGTATATGATGATATTTTCCATATTATAATTTTCTCATTTGTCTATTACATTATCTTAAAATCTCGTTAGATATGTGCTAATGTTACCCAGGCTATGTGTGTGTGTGTGTGTGTGTGTGTGTGTGTGTGTGTGTGGTGTACATATGTATGCACGTATACACAAATATCCCCTTGATATTACCACAGAAACCGCTTGAGAGTCGGATAAGGAAAACGATATCACCATCAAAGGATCGGGTTTTTGTTCAGCCTTATATCAAAGTGCCAGATGATGAATAAGCACCATAATGGCCCAGTTGTCACTCCCGAATCGACTATTGTTGATTGTGGATGGAGGATGAACTACATGTATGACAGTACAGAGAACAGAATGAACAATGTTCCGCTCTACATCGCCACGGCATCAAAGACTATAAGTATAGATATATATATATATATATATACACAGAATATTTATAGTACTTGATAATTTTCGAGCATTTAGTGATTTAGAGCAAAAACGCACGCCTACCTAGAGAAAACAGTAAATCATATCCAGAAAGAAAATACTTCAGATAGTTATTTCTACCTAAGTTACCCATGAACAGAAGCCAAGAAATGCATTTATCAAAATTCCAGGCTATTCAACCATACTACATACACAGATTCTTTTTATTTACAACCGTCGGCATAAAAAAACTTTCAGTGTGTAAATGATGTCAACACCATCGGCAAAAAAAGAATAAAAAGAGAGAGAAAAAAAAAAGAATGATAACGCTTTCCATGTGACATCCGGCGGACTGGACTATCGCGCCATCTAGGTCGTTGTATCTCAATCATTGTTACATGATATATTTTCCCGCTCTTCTTGACGCTCGTGTATATATCTAATTCCGTGATTTGTTATTTTTAGTATTTTCTTTTTTGTTTGAACTGTCTTCAGATTTGTTTAGGTTTGGAAAGTGGAATCTAAATTGAATTGAAGTCTTTCTGGTTTGGAGATATCGATGCTGGAGGTTAGCAAAGGAGGTGGGCGGTTTGCAATTTTGTTTGTTTGTTTTCTTTTGATTATGCAGTCCGGTTTTAAGACGATGGTTGAGGAGCCTTAATGAAGTGATTCACGTCACTCTAGTAGTTTTTTTAAGGTTAGTCACATCACGACTCACGCTAAATCTCGTTCTTCAGATATCATTTAAGACAAAAAAGAAGAAAAAAGAAACAAAGAAAGAACACACACACACACACACACACACACACACACACACACACACACACACACACACACACATATATATATATATATATATATATATTATATATATATATATATATATATATATATATATATATATATATATATATATATATATATATATATATATATATATATATATATACTCTTGAATACGATCACATTCCAGGAATCAGATTTAAGATAGAATTGACATCACTAAAAGACGATTCTTCTGTACTACTTTATGGCGCACTTCACACGGCAACCGAGCAGGTTAATTTCCAGCGTCTGCTAGTTCAGCGAAATTATCGGCTAAGTCAGCCCTAATAAACTGTCAGTGAGTCAGTGGTGATAGAAGACATTATCTGCAACTGGGGAAACAGAGCGTGGAAAATGTTTATATTCGCAGTACATGAAAATGTGTCAAAAGAGAGGGAGGGAGAAGATAGAAAAGAGACAGAAACAGGCAGACTGACAGGCAGGCAGAACGAGAGAGAGAGAGAGAGAGAGAGAGAGAGAGAGAGAGAGAGAGAGAGAGAGAGAGAGAGAGAGAGAGAGAGAGAGAGAGAGAGAGAGAGAGAGAGATAATAAATAGGAAAAGAAAGGCACCTGCCTCCAATATCCCCCTTGTCACCTAAGCCCCGCCTTTTTCACCCGTGGCTTCGAGGAGGCAAGGCAGAGGCGCGTTTACAAGGGCGTGGCATCAACACAACGGAACCCATGACGTCACGACTGAGCGGCTACTGTAACCGAACGAACCCAGAGGCCGCGGGAGCATCCCCGAACCCCAATAAGAACGAAAATGCCTCATCGGTCGGTAGAAACGATAGGTCTTATAGGCGCGCGTGGCATAGTCCTGTCTGGCCCCGAGAATGGAGACGCCCCAGCACACGCTCACGCAACGCGCCAGTCCTTTGACAAAGAGTTCTGGGCGCGAAGGATAAGATTTCCTTGCGGGTAACTCGGAAAACGTTTCCAGAGACGGTCTTTGGCGTCCATTAACTCGTGGTAACTCTTAAAGTAATTATATCCAATACCAGATGGTTAGAGTATGGGGAAAAAAGTAACGTACTTTTAATAGGCCATTAAAAAGCAATAAACTCGCGCCTTCGCTCGTAATGGCAACACTTCACTTTGTTTACTTTGCGTTCGAGTTCTGTGTTATTGTGATGAAGAGATGCCTTATTATTGTTATTTATGTTGTTATGTTTTGTGTCTCCTTCTCTTCTCTAATGTTTTTATGTTGATTTGCGGAATCGTTTCTGATAAAGCTATTTTAATCTTATTTTTGTGATTTTAATACTGTTGCTAGTATGGTGGTATTAATATTCCAGCATTTACTGGTCCTACATTTTTAAATTTTACAATGATTAGGATAATAATAATGACAGTAATGAGGATTAATGATAACGCTAGTAATAACGATGATAATGATGGTAATGATAATGATGATGAAGATGACAACATGAAAGATGATAATGGTAATAATAACAACAAGAAGAACAAGAATGATAGTGATGATAATATTGACAATTATAATAATGACAATTAAATAGTGATGAAAATAATAACAGCAATGGTATTGATGATTTTTATCATCATTATCATCATTTTTGATAGTATTACTATTATCATTATATTTGTTGTTATTGATATTATCATCATTATTGTTGTGATTGTTATTATTATTATTATCATTGTTATTACTATTTTCATTGTCATTATTATTATTGTTGTTATTGTTATTGTTATTATTATCATTATCCGTATTATCATTATTGTTATTATTATTAATATTATTATCATCATTAGCATATTATTATCATTGTTATCATGGTTATTATCATTATTATCATTATTATTGTTGTTTTTATTATCATTCATTTTTATTACTAGAATGATCATTATTACTGTCAGTAATATCATTATTATTGTTATCATTATCATCATTATTAGTTGTATTGTCATTATAGCTATCACCATTATTAGTATTACTGTTGTTGTTATTATCATTATTATTGCCATTATCGTTAAGGTTATTATTATTTTCATTATCATTATCATCATCATCATTATCGATTACATGACAATAGTAATGAATATTGTTATCATTATTATTATTATTATTGTTATTGTTATTTTATTATTATCATTGTTATCAATAGTATTATTTATCATTATTATTATTATTATTATTATTATTATTATTATTGTTATCATTATAATTTCTGTTGTTATCATTGTTATTGTTATCATTTACATTACTGATATAATGATTGTTATCAAGGTAATTGTTTTTATTATCCTCAGTATCATTATTATTGTTTTTATTGTTGTTCTCATTTTCATTATCATTATCATTATTGTTAATACTATTATCGTGATCATTTTTTATAATTATCATAGTTATTACTGTTATCAGTAATAACATTTTGTTCGTCATCAGAATCATTTCATTATCAATTATAATAACGATGATTATTAACATTCACTGTATTGTTTTTAATAATGATGATAATGAT